AAAAAAAAAAAAAAAAAAAAACCCGAAAAAACAGAGGTGATGACAGACAAATCAAGCAGATGCGAGGATTTAGGACCTCAGCAAAGGCCACAAAGTGATCCTGCCCGCCCTAAGAGAAGGCGGGCACCCTGAAAATGTAGCGTGCCCTCAGACAGGCGAAATTAGCAGAACTCAGGGCCCCCAAGTTATTGCTGCACGCACAGCATCTACAACTAACCTGTCGGCCCAGCCTCCTTGGTAGTTGCAGATGCTGGGCCTGAAGCACATTCTAGAAGGGACCAGAGCAGTTTGCAGAAGGGCCTGGGCGCAGGGTACTAGGACAGGGCGCAGCCTGTTGAGAGCCTGCTCGGCCTCTCTCGCCAGCACAAATGGAGGGCGCAGCCTCCCAAACATGCGGGCATTGTGCCAATGCGGCAGCAGTGCTGAAGCAGCAGCTGAGCACTGTGCCCGACGATTGAGCTGCACGGTGGCAGCGAGGAAGAAGGGGGTCTGGCAGCCATAGACGAGATGCTCAGACCTAGCTCAGTGGTTGAAGAGTGGCGGTGGCCCTGGAGTAAGAAGGGCGCTGCGGAAGGAGAGAGGAGATGCGGGCAGTGTGACGAGGAACGTACCCGGCGTGACGAACGCCACCTGTTCAATCGAAGTCTTCAAACAGCATTGGGTTGACGACATGTGGAACCTGTTGCAGTAGTCCGTAGGGTAGGTAATAGGAGCAGCTGTGTAGGTGTGACTGGCGGATACCCGTCAATAGGAGCACTATGATGCTGTTGTTGTATTGATGATGGGTGGCGCTGGATGGGCTTTCATTATCAAGAGACTTTGCTCGTTCTTCGAGGGCTTTCATTATCAAGAGACTTTGCTCGTTCTGCGAGGAATTGAACTCAGATCTCGCTTCACTTTCTGCTTTCAGTTTCGGCTCATTGACATCTGGTCTTCTGTGAGGCTTTCTTTACAATCTGGTTTATCGTTGTTCGCATTCCTCGTTTCCTTGCACAGAGACCAATGTGAATCAGAAAGTGTTTGTGCAAGATGTTGAAACTTCAGGCGAGAACGAGGGGGGGGGGGGGGGGGGGGGGGGGGGAGGGGATCACCTCTCCAGGCCTTTCAAAATCCCTGCCCAGTGCCTACCCTAAATTACCTCATTGATGAACACGATAGCCATGACTCACTAGGCAGTGTAAACTACTATAACTTAGTATAAACTTACTATGAAGTTAGTACAAAGTCTCCTTGTTTTTTTTTCTTTTTCTTTTTCTTTTTATTCCCCCCTCCCCTCCCCCCCTTCGTAACTTGTTCTGTGTAACCCCTGATTGTCATTTTTTTAGACGACCTCTAGGGGCATGTTGGCCCCCTTGTCCTGAAAAGGGGGAAAGAAAGAAAAAACAAAGAGTACATGGTCGAAATTTGGGAGGACTTTTTGGCATGTTGGTCCTCTTGTGTGGAGAAGGAAGTAACATGGTGGGAAAAAAGGGAAATGAAAAACAGAAGAGGGGCAGGGTTGGGGGGGGGGATGACTACATGGTCGGAATTTGGGAGGACCTTTAAGCCCCTACAAAATGGAGGCACAGGCGACAATGAATTCGTTTTCCAAAAAAAACAGAAATGGCAATCACCAACCAACCTCGTCTCGATCCTGCCTGCCAGGTGACTCTGAGGTCCAAAGTTCCAAAAACAAAGAAAAAAAGCAAAAAAAAAAGTCAAACAACTCGAAGGCAAGAAGAATTTTCCGAATTTAATATAATCATTATAGAATTTATATTATATTAAAATATATATAGTCAAACAGAACTGCCCGGTAAACCGAGGGCAGGGAAGGAGGGAGAAGAGGACAACAGACGAGGGGCTGTGACAAACTGTTTCGTCGGAGTTTCACCGACTCGTCAGGAGGCCATAATATATATTGTCACAAGAATATCAGAGCGCACAAACGAAAAAAAAAAAAAAAAAAA